ACCTCCACCATGCTGCGGTCGCCGCTCCTCAGCTTGCCGGCCAGCGCGGCGCCGGCGTCCGGGGCGCCCAGCGGCAGCGCCTCGCTCATCTTGCCCGGGCTCAGCGCGGTGGAAGGCGGCGTGAAGCGGCGGCTCGTGCTGGCATCTACGGGGATACGCATCACAACAAGCCGATTGAGTTAGGACCCTGCAAACAGCTCCTACCAGAGGGCGACAGGGGCGCGGATCTTCAGCCAGCAGCTCCCCGGAGACCAACATACAAGTTCAGGGGCCTTTACTGCTGCGGGGGGCTGCGGGAGGGGGCTTAGTCACTAACTGTCCAGGGGCCGGACCGGTCAGGTTACGCCGATGGGCCTCAGACCCCGGCAGGGCTCCCAGCATCCGACCGCTCGCTTAGTGCTTTACAAAGTGGGCGCCCAGAATCCAAAGCCAGATGCCCAGGGAGACTATCTTCCGAGCCTTGCTTTGAGTTTAAGCTCAGTCTTTGGCTGTCACAAAAGTTCCGGGAAGCAAAATTCCCATACACTTCCTAAAATATGTATACGGAGAGAAAAAGGGCCGGCAAACACATAATTTGGAAGTTCCAGTAGTTAATTAGTCGCCTGTCAGTTTTTCCAGGTGAGTTTTGTCTAAAGTCCCAGCGCGACAGAAAATACAGGGTTGTCGTCCATGAACATCGCCAGTTCTCATGCAAAACTGGCTTCAGTCCTCAAAAGCAAGACCGGCGACTTCCAAAGGTCGTGCTACTAATGTATGTGCATACATATACACATATAAATATATATACATATTCTCCACTTCATAAAATATTTACAATTCAATCTGTAGAGAATTTAAACACAACAGAAATCCATTAATGTTCGCTGCAGATTTTTTTTTTTAAGTAGCCTTGAAAATCAGCTTCAGTAGTTGGAGAAGGGCTGCGTTAGAAATACTTGTCATGGTCTCTCAATAAGTTCTGGCAAAATGCTCAGTTCAGAGAACTAAGCTTTTTAAAGAAAAGCTAATCTTAAAAAAAAAAAAGTCCAAGTCGATGACACTCAGGGTACAGCTCTCCACATCTGAGCACTCGGGTTTGGGGATGTTGGTTAAGTTTGCGGCTGATCCTGTGGTTTGGTGGGAGTGGAACAGCCGCCGAGTCGCACGCGCGCAGACACGCACTCTGCCGAAGCCAGCCGCTGTCTACATGGACTCCGTGAGTCAGCCCCAGACCAGGGCAGCAGCGAGCCGATCCTCCTCCAGCGTCGCCCCCGCGCCGGCCGGGTAACCACCAGGACGCGGCAACACCCTGGATCACCGAGTAACCGCAGCAGGTGGAGCGGGCCTTCCGAGGCGGCACCGCAGCGCGGCGCAGCCCGACGCACGCCCGGCCGCCGGAGTTACCCACGCGCGCACTCCTACGCACACGGCCACGCGCAGGCAACTTCGCGGCTCGCCTCGAAACAACGCGCACTTTCCCCTGCCGTTGTCAAAGGAAACGACCGGGGAGAAAAGTTCACAGCCAGGGAAGAAGTTGAATCATCCAGCCAAGAAACCAGTTCATTCAAAAGTAAGACAGAAAGGAAAAATAAAAAAAAAATAAAAA